GAAAGCTTAGCATTAGCAGTTAATGGGAAATGTTATTTGGCTTCTTTCAAACCAGAAAATGAATTAGAAAATAAATGCATCTATTGTACATGCAATGTCATTCTCATAACCAGTTATCCAATAACTGCACTTAAATTCAAACTCCAAACATCCATTCACATGCATGCCTGTTTTCTGCATTTCTTCGCTTTTATGTACAGTACATCTCCATTTATGATTCTGTTCAAGCCCATTCACCCAGCATGCAAAAAAATGCAAAGGACCCAGGAGTCATGCCAATAACGCAGGCCACTCTCATCTTGGTTGAACAATCATGTCCTGTTTACAAAAACATGCTGCTTGAGTCAACCAACCAAGCACTCCTTCCACAGAAACACCACTGCCTTGAGAAACAGAAGTGTGAGTATGTGCATGTATATGGCAAAAGAAAGGGAGCTAGAAGGTAAAGAAAACAAGAAAAAAAATGTAAATCCATTTTAGCATTTTAAGAACCCTGGGGAAATAACTGACAATAAAAAATTTACTCAATCAATAAACTTGTAAACTTACAGATTTTGACTGAAGAAATATGCTTTTAGGAGACAGACACTGTAGTTATGACATCTGTTTGTCTGACCAATGGCAGACTGTTTTGGGAAACTTGTTGGAAATTTATACAGTCCTGATCGGTGATGTGAATGGTACAGAACTTGCATAATGAGCAAGATGCTAGCAATACATAGCAATGGTGTTTTTTCGGCAATTAAATTCAGATTCAACTGTAAAAAACAAACAAAAAAATATCACAAGCTCACAGCCTTTCCCTTGTGACCACACACACACACACACACACACACACTCAAACATGGAGATCGACTGTGCTGTCTGTCTTCTGAAATGCATCAGATCAGTGATTCACAGCACTTGTGACTGTGACTGAAGTACGGTGGGTGGGAGGTGTCATGAGCTCGGTCTAAATCAATCAATATGCCCTGATCAACCACATCCTGTCTGTTTCATTTCAAGTCTCATGCTGGACAAGAAACCTGGCAAACATGTCCAGATTACTCACACAAACACTTCTCATGGATGCATGAAGCAACCAACAGTGATGATGGTGCAGAGAAAAGGAAGTATTGGCTTTCTGTTGTATTTATTCAAGACTGTCAGTTAATGTAACATGGATGTCATGAAGCATCTGCTTTAAAAAGACTCAACAAACATTTACACTATTGAAGAAAAAAAAAAATTCTTCCAACTTGTCAATAATGCTGTCAAATCGATTAATCACATCCAAAATAAAAGTTTGCGTTTACATCATTTATGTGTGGGTACTGTGTATATTTATATGTATATATAAATACACACACAAACATGTATATATTCAAGAAATATATGCTATATATGTATAAATAATATAAAGATATACACACACTTAAACATTTTTCATTTTTTATGCATGTAAATTTACATTAAAGCACAAAGACAGACCATTTTTAAGTTGTGCAACACAAAAGGGCCCACAAATTATTATTAGAAAAGATTGTTTATAAAGTGGAAATCACTAATCAAACAGAAGAAATACAAGTCACAGAAAAAGAGAACACAATAAATGTGCCAAATTTGAGACACTGATGATTTAGATCAATTACCTCACAGGGCTGATTCAACAGCATACCCAATTCTGCTTAATCCTTTTCTCTCTTGATCCCTTTCTATAAATCTATCCCAGCTTACATTTACAACCGCAAACACATGCAGCTCTAGCAGACTGTGACCGAGAGAAAACAGTGAACACAAAATCCATGCACACCTCCACAGATAAACAATAAACTCCTGTCATTTCTTATCAGAGCTTGTGATCGCATTTGCCTTCTACTTAAAACACATGGAAAGATGTGAAACAACAAATTCACATTATTTAAATTCTGATTACTGCAAAAATATATAAAGGTAAACAAATAAATAATGCAGTAAAGGGGGTGAAATGTTAGGTGGAGAATGAAAATGAATAGAATACTCCCCCTGGTGGATAAACCAACAAGTGATTATCGTGTGTATTTGTGGACCGAAAGGGATTTGACCGCCTTCAACCTGAGCCCCTGCTGATATTGAATTCATCACAAAGGAGTGAACAACAGCGCTGATGCAATAGAAGAGCTAAGATCCATATTTATAAAATGGTATCCAGATCACGTACTTTTGTCTGATACTGGCTATACAAGCTGAAGGCCAAATAAAATTTGGCTAGATAAAATTGTTAAGTATATATTAAATTATTTAGTATTATTAAGTATTACATTAAAATGTTCTGCAGCCCATTACAGATAATAGTATGAAAGATTAGAAATGTTTTAATTATAATACAGATATTGTTTAGCTTCAGTTTAGTGTAGGAGATATTGACAAACTGGCTCAGAAAAAAACAAAAAAACATTATATCTCTTAAAACAAGCTGCGTATCTGTCGGCAAGCTGACAGCATGGTGTTTGTTTTTATTAAAAACCACCATTCCCTTGTGATGCATTTAAATGAACAAACACAATGATAACATGGCTATGTAAATCTACGTCTCAATTTCAAGGGGGACATGTTGGTTTAACGACCTTGTCAGAACCTGATGTGAAGAATAAGTGACCCTCGACCACTTATCCACGGTTATGTATGTAAATCCAACCATGCGTATGCAAAGCTTGACATGTAAATGCACCGTTGAGCTACTTAATGTAGTGATTACAAAAATGGGGTCCACTACAGAAAAAACATGTCATGAGATCTGAGAACTACTCCATTACTAGTCACATCAAACGACATCAAGAGGGAGTCATTTTAAGAGTTATTTTAATTTAAACTAAATTATCACATAGGCTCTGCTTGTCTGTCTGGATCGCTCGTCCTCCATGTCTAAGGGTTTCAGTCTGTCTGAGTGAGTGAGTGTGTCTGGGTGCGGTCTTCTTGTTTGACTTGTCTCTAGGGAAGTTGCTGGAAGAAAATGTCTTCAACGCGATGTGGTGACATGGCCCCAGGGGTCATGTGACAGCTCTAAAATGGCCTTTTGATTCCGATTCACAACCCATAATAACCACGCTGCCAGATCTAAGGCCCTTTTATGTCGCCTCGGCAACCCTACCCAGGGAATTTGCGCTGTCGTCTTGTCCTCTCGCTGCATTTCACCAGGGAAAACTATGCCGCCGAGAGACAAAGCAAGAAATGGGAGAGTGAGGTGCTTTGTGTGCATATTCTTCATAACATCATAACTCACTCTACTTTCTAAGTCACAGAAAAACAGTCAGGAAATACCTCGCCTCCTCCAGGCAAAGTTATTGCGGACAATAAAGGTAAGAATGTATATCTCAAGGGCCTGGGATAGACAAATCACAGCACTTCCTCTTTTTTTTGCTCATTTAGGGGCCAAAGAGCGAGCGAGCCACCTCAGATACAAAACGGCAGAAGGGAACTAGAAAAGAAAGCATATGGACATGTGGTATAATATTTGTCTTGGGCCACAACAGCAAAATCGATTTAAGATTCTCTTTTCATTTCAAATATCAACCCTATACAAAGATATAACATATAAGACAAATATGACTAATGTATGGCCTTCATGCAGCATGAATAAAGGCTTACCTGGCTGAGGACTATGAAGAGTCTGTAGCCTGGAGCAACAATACAGCTTCATTCATCGATCATACCTCCTGAAGATTACAGAACTAATGCTTGTAGCAAAAGACATGTGTGCCTTTTCATTTAACAGAACAATTTTTCTTCTTGATGCATAATGGAGCTGAACCCCATTCTGTGCTTCTGAGAATATGTGGAGGAAATGTCTACAATACTCTTTATGTTCCCAAAGCCGTTTTCATCCAGATGCTGCCATCAGTCCCAGTGTGGGCTGAATAAACAGTGGGATGACCTTTGACCCCAGGCTTTATGATCTCATAAGCTCAAATCCAGTTTGTGGTTGAGCTGGCCATACACTTGTGTACATTTATTTCCAGCATTACACTTCTGCGGACTGAGGTTTTATCTCAATGAAGAATGTCTAGAGTGCTACAAAGACAGAAAGTCAACAGAATATTTTCTCTGTATGTAGATCTTGTTTGAGTATGTGTAGGTGTATGACTGTAAAACGAAGTAAAAATGGTAGCAGAAAGAATATCAAGTTTTCTAATTTACAAGAAAAATAATACAAGAGGGCAGTCTAATTATTTATGGTAAAATACAAAACCCAGTGGCAGAGTACATTATGATGAGAAAAGGGTAAAAAAAAGTAGCTTAACTGCCTTACTTTTCCCCCTAGTGAGTTACAGCATAAAGGATAAGCCTATGAGAAGTTTTTGATATATTAATAAAATATTTTGGCTCTCGTCCATGCCATGGGACTTTACAGTACTACATACTACATCATTCTGACAGTAGTTTGCCTTCCCATTTCTGGAGGTTAGTTGGATAAGTACACATATCTTGAAATCGGTTTGTAAGTCATTGGCATTCTGTATAAACATAACATGTTTTAGACATCAATATTCAATCAAATATATTTTATATTTATATAATAATACATTTATATAATACATATAACATATTTATATTATTTATAAGATATACATGAATAATAATAAAACTAATACTAACTACTTACGCTAATTCCCCTCTAAGAAAGTAAATAAACACAAAAATTGCCTAAATTATTTTGAATTCTAAAGCTAAAAAAAGTGATTCTGTATAATCGACTTAACAGTGAAAACTTTACTGCAATAAAATCAGAAAGAAGTATTTATGAAAGCACAAAAACTGAGAGACAAGGGCAAGTTTGCTGCCAGCCAAGAAATGTGTTTTATATGAAAGGAGGCCTGTTCTGCTCTGCGCGATGACTGGATTGCACAACAGGCCAAGGTGGATTGGTCGTGTGTTTGCTAAGCCCCCAGAGAAGCTCCCAACCTCCTTTAAATTCGGACTACCAGACCCCTTTGAGCAAGAGATGATATATCGCTTCTATTAAAACTCTGAGAGCCACAGCAATGTCGGATTCAAGCACTGATGAGAGTTTACCAAACCTTACCGCGTTTATCCAGACGGATCCGTATATACGACACTATGAGGGAGAGCTGCGCAGAAGGTAAACACACCTTGTTTAAACTTTTAACAAATGCCACATGTTTCTGATTGCTAACCCAATCAGAAATATGTGTCTCTCACGTGCTGCATGTTCAGCCTGACATATTACGCACTCTATTAAAGAAATCTATGCTGTTTGTGTTTATCTATTAATACTGCCATGCCTAAATGCTCCAAACGTCAATTAATGAAAGTATTCTAATAGTTTTAGTGAATTGTTCACCAAAATGTACAGTTTAATGGCATACCCTGCTAATAAAAACAAAAGAAACCATCACAGAATTTGTAATGGCTTTACTGGTCATAATGGGAATTGTATTGGTTTAATGGAAACTGTATGGTCCCTGTAAGTCTCTGTTTGTCACCTTCTATTGGTGGCTTGTTAAAACCACTAAATCCTAAACACACTACAGGAAACCATTTGTTAATGGTTAATAGGTGATGGTTTGTAATGTTTGTTTGTAATTTGTAGTGGAGTTTCCGCAGGGTGTGACTGTTCAGCTGATGGAACTTTCCAAAATACATTTCTTTATTACTTCCTCCTCGGAGGAAACACCCCTGCTTGATTAATAGAAAGATCCAAAGATCAGCATTTATCTGAAATAAAAAGCTTTTGTAACATTATACACTATACCAAAAGCTTTGAGTCAGTATAATTGTATTAATTTTTTTTATTATAGAAATTATTACTTTTATTTAGCAAGGATGCTTTAAATTGATCAAAAGTGATGATAAAGACATTTATAATGTTACAAAAGACTTCTATTTCAGATAAATGCTGTTCTTCTGAACGTTCTATACATAAAAAAACCCTGAAAAAAATCTTCTCTGTTTTCAAGATAATAATAATAATAATAATGATAATAATAATAATAATAATAAATGTTTTTGAGCAGCAAATCAGCATAGTATAATGATTTCTGAAAGATGTGATTGGAGTGATGCTGAAAATTCAGCTTTGAAATCACAGGAATAAATTACATTTTTAAATATATTCAAATAGAAATCAGTTATTTTAAATAATAAAAATATTTCACAATATCACTGTTTTTTCTGTATTTTTCATCAAATAAATGCAGGCTTGGTGAGCAGAAGAGACTTCTTTAAAAAACATAAAAAATCTTACTGATCAAAACATTTTAACTGGTAGTGTATTAAAACACATTCTGCCTAAATGTCAAAATTTGTAGGGGTACAACGGGGCTAAAGGCCCACCTTTAGAAAAAATGTGCCATTCACTGTTCCTAAAATGTATAATTGCAGAAACAATATGTACGTTGTATTGAACATTAATGGAGCAACAGATTTTGTGAAAATAAATCATTCTAGTTGTTTATTTTGTTTAAAAATCGTATAAATGTATGAGGTGCCAAGAGGGGCCTTTTACCTCACACACGGGGTAAAAGGCACACGTTATTGATACAAATACTTCAGCTAAAATAATGTTATTTTAAATAATGTCTAAGTTAATACATGTTCAAAACAATCACTTTAGCAAAGTTTGTACTATTTTCTGCTTATTTGGAAAATAAAAGAATGTTTTTTTTCAATAAATATACTATCATTAAAATGTTAATATAAAAAAATATATTTTAAAATACAGAAACAAAATCGTTTAAATAAGTAAAGATTCTGAAAGTATTGAAGGAGATCCAATAATAATTGAATATATATTTAGAGTAGAGTAGTAACAACAAATTATATTTTATTATATTATATGATTAATATCATGTTTTTAAATATGATGGTTTCATTCTAAATATGGACTCCCAACATAATATATGATATTTACCATCTGAATCTAACCATGTTATGTCAACAAATGGAAAAGTCAGCCATCTATTAATTATCATGTTGATTACTGTGCGCCTTTAGCCCCAACAGCAGGGGCACTTTTTACCCCAAATACCATACTTTTACATATTCTTTCATTATTTAAAAACTGTTGCTTTAATTATCTTAAACAAAACTGAAAATCATAAAGAACACCTTTGTCTCAAAATATATGCATTCATTTTAGCGATTCTCATTTGCTACTTAACTCTACAACATTTTAAAAAACATAAAATATTAGATCAAGTAAGCACAGAATCAACTTTGCGCTGCTGCATGCAATCTCGTCAAGGATCAGACAAAAATATATGTGCATCTTGAAAAGCGGATGTTTTGGAAAGTGTTACGCCACATTTTTGTGCCGTCTAGTGGCTAACGGCTAAAGGTCTGGAATCCATGGCAGCTTTCATTGGCTAAGACCCGCCTATGGGCCATTTGACCGACATGTCAAACAACCAATCACAGTCCGTTTCGTTTCAGCGTCATGTTTCGGGGTGTGGAAATGTCGCCACAACAACAGACCGGTGTGTAAAACTCTCTGACGTATTTTAAAGATTCTGTGCCGCGAACTTTAAATATTTCACATATTTTTGAAAATCCAGCATTTAGTTGATCCTGATAAGAGCTCGTCATCACGGTTGTACATACGACGGCTTTCTTCTTTCGTGAGGGGGTTTGGCGTCAGGGCGTCTTTGTTTCCAGGCAGAATGTTACAGAACGCGACACACACGGAATTTCTCCCTGAAGTCCTGTCTAATTCAACCAATCCGATGACGACTTCGAAACTCCTGAAGTGTTTCCACTTTTGTGTGCCATATGCATCAGACGTTTAGCCAACATTCCGTGGGCGTATACTATTACTGAACACACTATTGGGAAGTTGTGGCCTAATGGTTAGAGAGTCGGACTCGTAACCCAAAGGTTGTGGGTTTGAGTCTCGTACCAGCAGGGATTGTAGATGGGGGGAGTGAATGTACAGCACTCTCTCCCACCTTCAATACCATGACTGAGGTGCCCTTGAGCAAGGCACTGAAGCCCCAACTGCTCCCCGGGCGCCGCAGCAAAAAATGGCTGCCCACTGCTCCGGGTGTGTGTTCACGGTGTGTGTGTGTGTGTTCACTGCTGTGTGTGTGCACTTTGGATGGGATAAATGCAGAGCACTAATTCTGAGTATGGGTCACCATACTTGGCCACATGTCACGTCACTTTAATTGAATTATTAGGCTGTGACTCATATTATTTGTATTATTATATATTATATATTATCTCTTTCATCAATTCCCGCGCATCGGTTCTGTTCGGAACCTTTTGACGGAAGCACGGAACAGATGGGAGAGGGAACTTAAAAAAAAAAAGAGCAGCGGGCCAATTCTCCCGGTGCTCCCGATGGCAAGTCTGGGGCTGCCTCACTGCTTTGTTTTCATCTGTGTGAAATTCAGTATGACGCATAGCTTGATTAAGGTCTATTGTCATGTTTTGCTGATACTGTATTACTGAATTACCATTTTTTTGATGAGCTATAACTGTTTATTGTTTGTAAGTTTCACAAAATGTTGTGAAATTGTGTAACTTTGGCTTTCCTGACCAGACTATCCCTCACCGTAGAATTGTTTTCATCTGTGTGAAATTCAGTATGACGCATAGCTTGATTAAGGTCTATTGTCATGTTTTGCTGATACTGTATTACTGAATTACCATTTTTTTTGATGAGCTATAACTGTTTATTGTTTGTAAGTTTCACAAAATGTTGTGAAATTGTGTAACTTTGGCTTTCCTGACCAGACTATCCCTCACCGTAGAATCCCCGTGGCACCATCTCATTGTCTCCACTCGGTTCCATAATAATTTGGGATTGATGTAGTAGCATTTGCCATATGCGGTGAGCATGAGCAGCTTTACTGTGACAGTCATGAATTCCAGACTTTTTTTATTATTAATGTTCATATTGAACTCATAGTGGAAGATATGGGACTGTCAGCTAGTCCAGCAGACAGGGAAAGCAGATAATTGGCCAGAGCTTGTGAAAACAGGGTGAGATGGCACACAGAGAGACAGCGTCTGAGCTTGGCAGGTTTCCCCTATACCACCAGCCAGTCGTCATACCTTGTTAAAATTCACTTTAATGTCTAGAGCCTCTCAGACAGACACACATACTAACACTCATGCAGGCATAGGCACATGCACCTGAGACTTCCATGGGATGGTTTTTGTGAGGCTGGGAGACAGAAAGTGAAAATTAAGTCAGGCATTGTCAGCAGAATATTGTCACAGAGGGTTTCAATTCATGACGACAATTTGACAGTAAACTTTCTTAGAAAAAAAATGCTTGTGTGAAGTATGCAAATGTACTTTTACCGTTCGAAATATCCATATCCCCCCTCAAAATTTCTGCTTTTTTCCTACAGCTTCATGCTTGTAAGGTTTTGTGGATGAATGATTGAATCTGGTTTATCTTATTGTTGTCACAATAGTCATGTGTGCATTTATCTTAATGGTGATTATTACATTTGTATATAATCATTTCATGTGATAAGTAACATTTCTCCACATTTCAGATACTCTTGCCATCTGATAAGCTGTTTTTTACATATTCTTTTGTACAAGGTGTGTTAGCAGGTTGCTATCCTGGGATATGAGAATGAGTCAATATGAGAATAAATAAATGTCAAATAATATTTTGCATTTTAAATCTAGGGGGGAAAATAGTTTACATTAATGCATACTTATACACTCTAAAAAAATCCATAAAAATAGGGCACAATATACTGTATAATTTGAAGGAATTTATCCATATTTATTTTTTTACAAATTTTTTACCAGTATTTTGAATTTTACACCATTGCATTGTGTTTTAGAGTTAACAAAAATATCTGTAAAACTAATGGATAATGTTGTGTGTAATGAGCTGCCAGTACTTTTTCTGTTATTTTACAGATTTATTTATTACAGTGTATAATATAAAAATAATGACGTCTATATAGGAAGTAAGTTTTTACTTTGAGTGAAAAAAGCTCTGGTTTTGAATGCCACCGAAAGTTTTGTTGTTGTTATTTTATATATTACATTTTTTTACAAAGCTGCAGCCGTCAGTGGATGTGCATCAGTAGCAGGGATGTTTTTGTATGCATTTTATTTTGTGTATCACTGGACTGGAAAGCAGACTGTGGA